TGTGTGTGTGTGTGTGTGTGTACATTTGTGTACGTTTGTGTGTGTGCGTGTGTGTACGTTTGTGTACGTTTGTGTGCGTGTGTGTACGTTTGTGTGCGTGTATACGTGTGTGTGCGTGTGGGCGTGCGCATGTGTGTGCGGGCCTGCGTGCGAACGTGCATGAGTGCGTGCGTGTGTTTGTGTGTGTATGTGTATATGTGTTTGTGTATTTGTGCGTGTTGGGGTGCGTGTGTATATGTGGATTCGTGCGTATGTTCAAAAGTGTCTGTGTATGTGCTTGCTTGTTTCAATATCTATACCTATGTGTATGTGTATGCATGCGAATGTGTGGGTATGCGAGTACGTGTGTGTATATGTGTGTATGTGTGTGTGTGTGTGCGTGCGCGTGCGTGCGTGCGTGCGTGTGCATGTGCGTGTGTGTGTCTGTGTCTGTGCTTGCTTGTTTCAATATCTATACCTATGTGTATGTGTATGTGTGTGTGTGTACATTTGTGTACGTTTGTGTGGGTGCGTGTGTGTACATTTGTGTACGTTTGTGTGTGTGCGTGTGTGTACGTTTGTGTGGGTGCGTGTGTGTACATTTGTGTGTGTGTGTACATTTGTGTGTGTGTGTACATTTGTGTACGTTTGTGTGGGTGCGTGTGTGTACATTTGTGTGTGTGTGTGCTGGTGTGTGTGTGTGCATGAGTGTGTGTGCTTGTGTGTGTGTGCATGAGTGTGTGTGCTTGTGTGTGTGTGCATGTGTGTGTGTGTGCATGTGTGTGTGTGTGCATGTGTGTGTGTGTGCATGAGTGTGTGTGCTTGTGTGTCTGTGTGTGTGTCTGTGTCTGTGCTTGCTTGTTTCAATATCTATACCTATGTGTATGCGTATGCATGCGAATGTGTGGGCGTAATAACTTCGTATAGCATACATTATACGAAGTTATACGAATGTGTATGTGTATGTGTACGTGTGTACGTGTGTACGTGTGTACGTGTGTACGTGTGTACGTGTGTCTGTGTGTATGTGTGTGTGTATGTGTATGTGTGTGTCTGTGTATGTCTGTGTGTGCGTGGGCGAGCGTGCGTGCGTGGGTGTGTATGTGTGTGTGTGCGCGTGCGTGCGTGCGCGTGTGTGTATGTGTGTTTGTGTGTGTATGTGTGTTTGTGTGTGTGTGTGTGCGTGCGTGTGCGTGTGCGTACGTCAACATTCCAAGCATTTGCCACGAAGGAAGAGAAACCCAGAAGCTCACCTGCGCGTTGGGATCCGCCCCCGCCTGGATCAGCCACTGCAGGCAGTGCGGGTGCCCGGCGAAGGCGGCAATGTGGATGGGCGTCTGCGAGAAACGCGAGGTCTTCTGGCCGGGGTTGGCTGCTATTCCGTTGCCCAGGCCGCAGATTAGCAGACGCAGGCACTCCAGCTGAAGCAAAGGGTTATTCGTCAGTGACAGATGGCAAAGGAGGAGGAGGAGGAGGAAGAGGAGGAGAAAAAAAAAAGAAATAGAAGATGAAGAAGAAGGTGATGGAGGAGATGGGGAAGACGATGATGGTATTGAAAAGTCGGAGCAGAAGGGAAGATGCTGGTGAAAGCGGCGCGAGGCCGTCTTGTATCGTTATGGAAAAGCATGATACTGATTGAAGGTATGGAAATGTTGATCAATTTAATATATAGGGAAAAAAGACACATACAGACCGGGACAAACACATTCAATGTGAAAGGGGCGGCTCAACGACACAAAACCGAAGCCAGTTCTCACGTACAGTAGACCATGCTTCCGGCAGTGGCGCCCATATTCGAACCGAAAGGAAATATCGTTTACCCTACGAATGCTCCCATGAGAAAGGGACTTCGCTGACACCATTTCACATGGTTGCGTTCTCTTCCTACCCCGCCGACGGTCGGTGCAACGCATAAGCATGCACTCGTGAAAGCGTCCCCGTGATTTTCCTTCGTTGTCGCCACAAAACCGTATTTACCGTTATCCGCCTCAAACCTGATCTCTGGGGCTGAGAATCGACTTCCGTCCTGCGTCTGCAGAGCCATCTTCTCGACTGCCTGCGGCCGCCTGTTGCTTACGAATTTATTGGTGAATGTGGAAAGGTGCGCATTTGCATATTCATGTGGATTTTAGTGTAAGCATTTAAGTCTCTCTCTCTCTCTCTCTCTCCCTCTCTCTCTCTCTCTCTCT